AATTTACCATTAACTTTTGTTCACTTAAGCCATCCCTTTTATCACCTCATTAGGCTCATATTTAGTTTGGTCTGCACTCACGTATAAAATTTCACAATATTGAATGTTTTCGAGCAAACATGTTCAGTTGACGGAAACTAATAATAAGAGTGTAAATAGATTTTGATTCAAATTAGTTTTTTTTTTTGTACAGGGAAACAAAACAAAACAATGTCTCTCAATAGAAGACCTCTACAACCCTCAGGAGGTTCACTATACCAGACAGCATGCCAATCCACTTTAGGAGCATGACTGGCCAACCAATCAGCAACTCTATTACATTCTATGTGCACATGCACAGTCTTCACCATCCAGCTTTTCCCCAGCATCTCATTGATCCTAAGCATGAGTATATAGCAAGGATGTGATACCTCACAACCTTGGGTAATCAATTTATGAGCATCCATAGAATCAATTTCAACAATCACCTGCTGATAGCCCTTCACCCAAGCTCATTCCAAGCCAATTACCACTCCCCATAGTTCAGCCATCAGCACATTTTCACTGCCCAGTCTCTTTGAAAATCCAGAGATCCAATTCCCATGGCAGTTTCGAGCAACTCCTCCACAGTTAAGCCTAATACTCTTCTCCGAGCATGCTCCATCAGAATTAAGCTTGATCCAATTAGGGGGAGGAGCTTCCCATTGAAAATTCATATAAGACCTGTTCACAGTAAGCAGTCCAGCCTTGAAAAGCAAGTTCTCAGCTACTGTTATGCTATGGATGAACGAGTGAGCATAATTCACAATCTCAGAATGAGTTTCCCACTCATCATTAAAAACCATATTGTTTCTCTCCTTCCAGATTAACCAGCAAATAACTCCAAACCATCTCCTCCATTCTGTATTTTGTTTTTTCCTGTTCAAATTTCTCGCAATCCAACTATTAAAATCCCCTTCCCAAAAAGAATTAAACTCCATGCCTTCAAAACACAGCTGCCAAATATGTCTCGACCAGTTGCATTCCCTAAAAATATGATCACAATTCTCCACAGCCCCCTGACATCTCATACACTTAGCCTCCACACACAAATTCCTCTCAATCTTTGTTCATTGGTGAGCAAATTTTCTCCAACAAGTAGCCAAAGGAAGGCTCTAATCCTCTGAGGTCCCTCCCACTCCCAAGCCAGCATCCAGTCTCTACTATCACCATTATCCAAAGGGATATTCAAGGTATTATAAGCAGATATAATGAAAAAAATACCTGTGAAGGAGTGAATCAAAATCACCTTGCCATCCCCAGCTGCCTCAGTTGGAGGGTTCACCTTAGAAATAGCCATAGAAACCTCATCATCCAAGAATTTACTGAATTTTGACCACTGTCAGCCTCCATCATCATCCACACAGTCCACCACCCACCAATTAATTGTATCCTCCGAGATTGGCTCAACAACTCTATCTATAATCTTTCATATTTCAGGGACCCAATTATCCGACCAAAACTTTGTTTTATTCCCATTGCCAATATGAATTCTCACCCCATCCTGAACATGACTCCAGCTTTTGCACACTCCTCTCCAAGTACTAGACTTAACTCTAGCTTCCTTTAGCATTGGAATTAAATCAGCATTCACCTGATATTTACTTCTTAGAATCCTGGCCCATAGAGCACCATTATTTGACATTACCCCATAACCAATCTTCATGGCATAAGCTTTGTTAATCAGCCTCTGATTTCTCAAACCGAGGCCTCCATCCTCCTTCCTCCTGAAAACATTTTCCCAGTTTACCAGATGAACCTTCCTTTTGTTAGGACTTGATCCCCAAATAAAACCTCTAGTCAGCTTCTCCACCTCTTTACAAATGCTGATGGGGACATCAGTGGTTTGCATTGTATATGCTGGCAGAGCTTCCAGGACATCTTTGGCCAATGTGATCCTCCCTGCTAAAGATATAGAGGCTTGATTCCAAGAGGACAACCTATTATGTACCCTTTCCACCACATAGTTCAAAGAATTTCTGGACACCCTTCTATGATTTGGATTAACACCCAGATATTTTCCCAGGTCATTAGTAATGCCCAAACCCAAGCACTCACTGATCTCCTTAGCTCTAGTAAAACCCACATTCTTGGAAAAGAATACTCTGGATTTCTCTTCATTGACTTTCTGGCCCGAAGCAGCAGAGAACAACTTGAGAACCTGATTAATAACATAAACCTGATCCATAGAGGCTTCTGCACAAAGGATGATATCATCTGCAAAAAATAAATGAGATAAAGGAGGGGCATTTTTATTAACCATGATTGGTTTCCAGGCTCTGGTATCCACAGCTAGCTGAATAAGATGAGCCAGTTTCTCAACACACAAGACAAAAAGATATGGAGAAATAGGATCTCCTTGTCTAATCCCTCTTTGAGGAATAAAATCTTTTGTTAAACCACCATTCCACAAAAGATTCATTGTGCTGGATGATATACAATTAAAAATCAGATCTGACAGATTCTTGTGAAGACCCACATCCTCCAAGGTATCCTCAACAAATTTCCAACTAAGGCAGTCATAAGCCTTTTCCAAATCTACCTTGATCATCATCCACCCCTCCCTCCCTTTCTTCTCTTTCATAGAATACACAATTTCTTGGGCTATAATAATGTTATCTGCACTCTGTCTCCCTTTGATGAAGCTACACTGGTTTGGGCCCACCACCCTAGGCATAAAGTCTCTCAATCTCTGTTATAATTTTAGTTACCACTTTATACATTACATTACAAAGGCTTATGGGCCGAAACTCTTTCATATTTTCTGGACTATGTTTTTTAGGAATAAGGAAAATCAATGATCTATTGATTTCCTTAACCTTCATAGGATCCAGAAAAATATCAATAACAAGCCTGCAAATAGACTCCCCCACCAAATTCCAATGTTTCTGGAAGAATACAACCTGCAAACCATCAGGCCCTGGGGCTTTGAACTTTCACATTTTAAAAATCACTCCACGAATCTCTTCACATGTAGGCACTTTAGCAAGATAGTCCTTCTCTCTATTACTAAGAGTAGGAAACAACCCTTTCACAGGAAACTCTTCAGTCTCCTCTTCATCAGGAGCAAACAACTTTACAAAATAATTCCTGGCCATATTAATGAGCTCCTCCTTATCAGTAACCCAATTCTCATCCTCATTTCTTAAAGCAACCACTTTGTTATGTCTCCTTCTAGATATAGTTGCTGAATGAAAGAACTTTGTGTTCTTATCTCCATACTTCAACCAATGGCATATGGACCTTTGAAACCAGTCCAATTCCTCCCTCATAAGGATCTCCTGCAGCTCCTTCCAAAGGCCCCTCTGAAGAATTTCCATGCTATGGTCATATCTACCCCTCCTGTAGTTATCAATCCCTCGAAGCCTAGCATAGATTATATTCTTCTTTCTAGTATTTTGTTTATATACATTATGATGCCATTCTTTAGCCCTCCTCTCAAACTCATTTCTGGCCGAGTCCCAATCATGATGAGTATTCCAGCTGGTTTCCACCATATCCTCAAACCCATCCATAGTCATCCAAGAGGCTAGGAATCTAAATGGTCTCTCCCTAACATCAGCTTTATTCTTCTGCTCATGAGCCAGCAGTATAGGTCTATGATCCGAGCTGAAATAAGGAAGATGAAACATGAACCTATTCGGCCAGCTTAGGTTCCAAGCCTCATTAGCACAGGGTCTATCAAGCCTTTCCTGAAGTTTTCCCCTCTTCCAAGTAAAATTAGGTTCTTAAACCCTATGTCCTGAAGATCACAATTGGCCAAACACAAGTTCATCTCCCTCATACTATTCCAGCAGGCTTCTTTTCCCCCTATTTTCTCATAAGCCTTTTGAACTGAATTGAAGTCACCTAGTACAACCCAAGGACCATCCACCTCTTGAGCAATGGGCTCCAGCTCTTCCCATAAGGCTTGCCTTTCTAACCTTCTAGGATTCCCATACACAAAGGTAACAAATTCACTCTTTTCCTCCTCCACATGAAAATTTTTTGTATGAATAAACTGATTATGTACAACAACAATTTCCACCTTAGTCTTCCTATCATCCCAAAGAAGCCAAATGTCTCCGACAAAATCCACAACATCATGCTTAAAGGTTTTAGAAAAACCCAGCTTATTTATGATTCTATCACCCCTACTTCCACTTATTTTTGTCTCTAACAAAGCCAAAACACTAAGCTTAAACCTATATTTTAAATCTTTAATGAGGGCAGGGAATTCTTTTTTCCCTACACCTGTACAATTCCAAGAGCAAATAAACATAACAGCTACTAGGGAAGTATGGGATCCTCATCCCAAAAAATTAAAGACTAATAATAGTCTTAACACCCTCCAAGGGTGTTACTTGTTCCTCCAGAACCAGATCCTCCTGAAGAGGAGCAAAAGAATTCAACAATACAGGGGCCTCAACCCCTTTACCTTTGATTTTTACTTGAGCTGCCATCTCCTCCCCTGAATTACCATTCCCTCCAGATGGCATAGCCTTGACTCTGCCTCTCTGTTTCTTCCCAGCTCCCCCCAAAGTAGCATTCAGAGGTAAGTTTTCCACATCACCCTTCTTTAAGTCAAGTGAGCTTCCTTTGTAATTCTTACTTCCACTACTCCCACTTTTACTTCTGCTTTCTTTTAGGATACCTTTCTTCTGTAAACTATTATCCATCCTAACATTCTTTGGACTATTTTCAGGACAATAAGCTCCACTACTACCACCCTTCTCAGCTGAACTACCTACCTTTAAATCAGCTGAACTACCTGCCTTTAAATCAGCTTTCTTAGTAACCTCAGTCTTGATAGGACCTTCTACTTGAGTCTGAGCCTCCTTAATAATAGGCTATGTCTGATTACCATAACTCCCTTCACCTTCTTCCATGCTGGTGACCACCCTCCCTTCCACAGATTTCGTCAAAACAGCCATAGGACCTTCCTCCTTCTCCATAGCCTTACTCAACAGAACATGTCTAGGTTTCCCTCCCCTGTTAGATCTTTAAACCACCATCCAACTCCCAAAAGCTTCCTCTTCTTTACAGTTCTCCTTAGTAGTTCCACCAGATTTCTCCTCCATATTAGTCTGCCCCTTAGGCTCTTCTTCCATCTGATTCCCCTTTTTTGGGAGCAATTCTCCCCCACATTGATCCTGCCTGTGCCCATAAACACCACACTTGAAGCAAATTAAGTGGATGCCTTCATATCCCACCTGATATATCTTATTCCCAATTTTGAACTTCGATAGCAGACTCTTCCCGAGGTCCACTTCAACACAAATCCTGGCAAACTTTGCTCTCTCAGTGATAACTGCATCCCCTAACTCATTTTTCCTTAGAGAATTCCTATCAACTTTAAGAGTTCGACCAAATAAGTTTCCAACCTTCCACAAATAATGAGCAGTATAAAACTCAATCGAAAGCCCAGGGACCCTAATCCACACAACCATCTTCTTGAAGCCCTCATAATACGGGTCAAAGAAAGGACGCCACCTTTGTACCACCACATAGTGATCAATAACTATCCAGGGGCCATCCTCCAGCACATGCACATAATCCCCATCATCATGGAACCGCAGAAGAAGATATCCGTTGTCCAAATCTATCAGTTTATAAGTCGATACCAGATTCCAAAGCCTTTGTAACCTAGCCATCAGGAATCGAGTTCCTATTCTCTTTCCCATCAACTTTATAATAAGAGCCTTTCGCCACTATTTGCAACTCTCCTTGTGTTCACTCTTAGAAAACTGGAGAGTTGGGCACAAAGGATCCTCCTCAGGTCCTTGAACCAGATCCTCATCACAACTATCCTCCTCCTCATCCCTGCGTTGGATTTCCTTCCAGTCATCCTCCTCACTTTTCGAATTTCCCTCTCCACCATTCAGTCTCAGCAACTTGTCTTTGTACGAAATAACCCTCTTACCAACTCCTCCCTGCTTAGCTTTGGCACTCTCAGGGAGAATGGCTTTGGTTTCTTCGCAAACCCCATCATCCAACTTCTCCAGCATTTCATCATTCATATGCTCATCTACTACCACAGCACCTTTCGGCTTCTTCACACTCCTTTGGATCAAATCCTCTTCCTCAGTCGTGCGCTCTCTCACTCCTTTCGAACCATCATCAACCGTCTCCATCTCCTACCTTGATTCTCTTACTCAGCAATAGTCACGAACCAGCAAACCCTAACAGAGAGAAAAAAATCGCACGCATGAGACTACGCGCGCCAACTGTGCTTTTGTATTTACTTGATTCAAATTAGTTAGTTCTATATATATGATATTTTTAAAATTTGATCTGACATGTTAATATAACATAAGTTTTTTTTTTGTTAAAAATATAATATAAGTTAAATTATAAGATTGATCGAACCTATTAAAAAAAAGGGCATGATTTAGACCTATTAATTTCTTTAAACTTATCAAACAGATTTTGTTAGATACCACACCTATCTTTCTTGCGAAAAACTATTTTGTTACGTGTTTTTTTTAAGGGGTTTGATTTTCTCATGTTGTGACTCAACTAGTGGTGAGTCCCACATTTATTAAAAAAAAAAGAAAAAAAAAGCTTTGCACGCAAATCGAAAGGTCACAACAGGAGAATTGAGTTCTCATGCAACATGAAAAAATGTTTTCCCTTTTTTTAAACCATCATTTGAAAGGATACATATTTTTTGACAAAAATATTTAAAAATTATATTTTTAATAAATATTTACGAAAACATAGTTGTTTTATAACTAAATACGAATATATTGTATTTAGATATGTATAGAATTGGGCGTGACTATTCACACTCAGCTTTTAGGCGTGACCTAGAGACACGCCGTACAGGAGACGTGATAGATGAGACTTGAGAGACACGCTCGTGGGACATGACAGAAAAGATTTTTTTTTGGCCTCTTAATGTTTTGCTTTTTTTATGCTTCTTACATATGACATTCAACAAAGAAAGAGAAGAAGGTGAAAGGAATGAAATTGTGTATGGTCGGGAGAAAAAGTTTGCTCCTTTTACAGAGCTGTTAAGTTTGTGTCGAGAGAAGGGGATAATGACTACTGAGCTTTTCGTATAGTTTCATGTATCGACCTCTATCCTTGATCGCTGATTGTGAAGACCTTTCTATTCTATAGTTTCGTGTAGCGCTCTCTACTAGTAGTCTAGTACTACTCTATTCCTTGGCTATCGCTTCGCAGTTTTTATGCAGAAGTTAACAACTTCCTACTCAATATTTTCAAATATCCAGAGAGTACTTTTACTTTTACAAATTGTAATGTTTGTTTTGCTGTAAAATTGAATAAATGATGAAATCAATAAAGCGCATGTTTCATCATTCGATGTTATGCTAGTTGTTTGCAGTTTCATACCCAGGTGAATGATAATTACAATATTATTAAACACTACGAAGCTTTTGCAAGATGGAACAAATTTTTTGCCCTGTAATAACAGATGTGTTTCTGGTTAACATTCAGCGCGGTCCAGATATAAATTAACTATTATCTTTTTCGACGATTTTAGCACTCTTAATAAATTAACTATGCCAATACATTCTCCTATTAAGGGAGACATGTATCTGGACGGATAAAATCCCACGTGAGCTGGAGAGGATGCATTTCTTAATCAATTTAGAGCTCGTTTCTTTGCGCTTTTAAAAAAAAATAGCTTTTATCTTTTTTTATTTTAAAAGTATTTTTTACAAAAGTTAAAGCTATTTATATTTTTATAATAATATTTAATTTTTGAAAAAAATATTTGACTTTTGACTTCTGCTATTTTTAGAAGCTAGAATTTTCAGCTTATAAAAAAAAACAGATTTTTGACTTTTTTTGTGACTTATGTTTTTTTTTTTAAAGCAGACATCCAAACGAACTTAAAGTGAGAAGTGCTTTTTTTTTTTTCTTAAAAAAAGTAACTTTTAAAGAAAAAAAAGCTCATCCAAACGGACCCTTAGTCAAAGGCGAGAAAGAGAAGAAGGTGAAAGTAAAACAACGGTCTTTTGGAAAAGAAATAGGCGAGAAAAAAAAAATAATGTTTTGGGTCACGCCCAATACTCGGTGCGTCTCTCTCCTACCTTGTCACGTTTTTATAGGGCGTGTCTTTTTCTTGGGTTACGCGAGGGATTGGGTGTGAGTGGCCACATCCAATTATGAATGTGTCTAAGTATAATAGATTCGTATTTAGTTATAAAATAGCTATATTTTTGTAAATATTTATTTAAAAAGTAATATTTAAATTCTTATTCCCACATTTTTCCCTTTAAACAACTAACATATTAAATAATTTCATAAATTTATGCCAGTCAAACATTGAAAGTGGATCCTGTCATATTAAAATTTCATGACCTAATTATATGAAATTTTTTGGTTTATCTCTTTCTTCATATATATGCATTAAATAGGTGTGTCCAATTATCATTAATAAAAAAAGAGATAGATACAAAAATATTACATAAAACAAGTCATGTGAATTTTATTTTATTTTATTGATAAACTATCATGTAAAATTTAAACATTAGAGGATCTTCTCAAACTTTTCATATTTTTAAATAACAATAAATAATTTATTAATTAATTTGTTGCACACAAAAATAATATATTTATGTGCACTAAAATTTCTTAAAAAGGTGAAGCCTTGATGACCGTGTCCAATAAATTTTTTCCTCCATCCTGCAGTCAAGTCAAATTCAATTTTTCCCGTTTTAACGTTACTAAAACCCATTCTTTGACTTTAATATTTTAATTGTTGTGGATATTAAAAGAATAATATACATATATATATATATATATATATATATATATATATATATATATGTATATATATATATATACGTGCGTGTTATAATATTATAATAATTTAAATATCAGATGAATATTATTTTATTTCATTTTTGAATTTAATATTAAAAATAGAATACAAATATGAATATTTTTAATATTTAATTTATATTAATAATTCTTGTATTATTAATAAATTTTTTTTTTTATTTACCATTTATACTATCAATTAATTGATATTAAATATATTCATTAATTTCTAATTCATATGTATTATTTATAGATATTAATTAATAGTAATAAATGAGGAAAAATTTAAAAGTGAATTAAATAATATCATGAAACCCCCATCTTAAAAAAAAGAAGAATATACTTTTTCAGTTTGAACTTATCCTATTCAAAATAATAACTTGTTTTGTCAGAAGCGTTGCTCTAACATACGTTATGCAGTGTCTGCATGTCCCTCATTCTGAGCTGGCTGAGACAACTGTTCAATAGTATAAAACACTCATCTTTTCTTCTTCTTCTGTGTATAATCAATCTCATAGTTTTCTGAAAAATAAATCTTTTTGCTTTCTCAATCACAAATATTCTCTTCCTTACCCCACCACTCTAAACCGTATGCTGTCTTGTAATATCTCCAGCTCTCATTAATTAAAAATATTTTATGGTTTTGTCAATGTTATTCTCAAGCTCTCTTGTTATTATTTTTTGGGGAGGGCCGGGGTTTATATATATATGTGTGTGCGCGTGTGTGAAGGGTTTTCAAATATTGTAACGGATTATAGTGGTTATTTATTAGAGTTAATTGGTTTGTACTTCATGTGATGTTGAATTTAATAACTTTTTTTTGATTACTTTTATATTTTGAAATTTGTCCCAGGAGTTCCTGTAATCGTGTTGCTGCCGACGTTACGCCTCTCGAAAAGGTATGTTGGCGAGGATTTTTATTTTCTTAACAATTTATTGTATTAATTATGCCATGAATTATCATTTGTGTATTTTTGCAGATTTTGTGTATTTTATTAGTTATTGATCAAAACAAATACTAAAGTATGAGAATTTTCGTTTTATTGATGCTCAATTTTCTTAAATTTTATTTTGATGATTACATTTTTTTATTAAAAAAATGACGTAAGATTTTTTTATATATAAAAGTAATGTGGGTTGATTGAATTGCATGTAAAATTTATATAGAATAACAAAAATGATAGAGTGCGATTTAATAGGAACTGAGGCCATTGGATGTATGGAAGAGAAGGAAATGGGAGAGTTTGGTTGCGGTGCTCTAGTTTTGGGATAAGTACCAAGGGTTGCAAAACCTAGAGAATATGAGTTTAGGTGCTGTGCACTTGTTTCTCTTTTTGATTTGACTGGAGACATAATGTTTCAATGCTAACCAATGTTAAGAATATATAAGTAATGAAGAAAATAAATAAATATAGCAGATTAGTTGAGAAATGAGGAATGCACAAGAGAATTTACCATTAACTTTTGTTCACTTAAGCCATCCCTTTTATCACCTCGTTAGTCTCATATTTAGTTTGCACGTACGTATAAAATTTCACAATATTGAATGTTTTCAAGCAAAAATGTTCAGTTGATGGACATCTAGGCTATATATGCTAGCTTCCCATCATATTTGTATTATAAAGTTTTCCATTATTTTTCAACTTCCAACCTGGTTATATATGAGACTTTTGCTATATGGATCATGATTCTCTCGTGTCAAAATTTGACATGAACTTGTCATGTCTTAGATAGTAGTCATCCATTCACAGATCAACAGTCATTAATAAAAGTGATTTATCATTTTACAAAATAATATATGATTTGCAGTTGGACCATTGATTTGTAAATAGATGGCTGTGATCTAAGGCATGACAAAATCATATTAAATTTTGACAGGATCTATATCCATTCTTAGGTATTGCTTGACCTTTGCAGTTAATTAGGTCAGGTTGCGTATACTTGATGGAGAAAGAATATGAGCTCTTCACTTGTGTTAACTTGAATAAACTTTGAGGCAGCTGGAAGCCTAGAATTTCAGCAAACAAACTCAGAATAAATTTAATGCAAGTGATTGTAATAGGGGCACTAATTTAATTAATCTTGCATTAATGTAAAGTGCATATATTTCTTGAACGGGACCTGTTTTTGAATCAAGGAGTTTGAGGTATAGGGTTTCAAAGTAACATAAATTTTAACGCATACAAAAAAGATTTATATATAAGAGAACAAGCTTTTTTATTATGTCATGGATATAAGATGACCATAGGTACATATCTTAGATGCTACGGGGGAATCTTGGTGAGAAAATTACGTTATTGTATCATGTTGATCTAGCTTTAATGCTTCATCAAGTAGCTGATAAATGAACAGTTTTTAATTATTTAACTGTAGGAGCAATGAGCAAATCAAATCAACATGACAACCCTGTTGATTCAGGAGATGTCGCTGTCAAACGTAGTCGTGCGCGGAAATACCCAAGACCTGATGAAGAAGGGAGTAAGTATATTATGTTGAATCCAAGGATAATCCACAATATTGAAGGAGATGACAATGCATTGGTGCCTCCTGGATTTGAAGCTGCTGTTCAACAACCTCAAAGTAGGGGAACATTAAAATTTGAGCTAACGAACGTCGTCGAGGAGGGCCAGGAAATTTCAGTTGTAGTTGACAGAATATATAGAGATGGATTCTGGGTCAGTTTTAAAGATGTTAATTCTGGAAGAACTTTGAGGGGGCTAATCTGCGATACCAAACATTATTTTCCTGTTGTTGATGAAAATAAGGTTATTTTAGGTGTTCCCATGCTCCCCAAACACATTGCTCCTTTTCTTCCTGAATGTCTTACTCAGGTTCCGAAATCTGAAGTCATGACCCAAGCTTCTCATGGAAGAGGAAAAAGAGTCTTGAATGATATTCCAATAGTGAATAATTCCAGCAATAGGAAGAAAATCGAAATTATTGACTTAGAGGAGGAGGAGGAGGAGTTGGACCAACCCATGCCTATGCTACGGTCTCTGGAACATTCTGCATCTGCTTCCACATCTTCCAAAATGACTAAGTTTGTGCAGGTAATAAAACAAAGCTTTGACTTGTAATTGTTACGTAACAAAAATATGTAGCATATATATGTCTTGAATGATAGCATATGTTGATGATATGCATAATGTGATGAGGTTTTGCAGGATGAACAAAGCGGAGAACCTAGAATAGAATAATTATTATGCATCCCTTTGATCTCATATTCTCATGTACCTGGGAAGCACAAGTATGCGAAAATACATAAATAAAGCAAAAACAAGATAAGCAACAGATACGTATGATAGATTTGAATGATATATATGAGAGCACCCACAAAGCACACAGTGCTGCTGACTTCATAAATGACATAATAAACATTAAATTAAGTTTTGGGTAACAATTACTTTGCCGAGAAAAAGTAATTAACACCCGACCTGAAGGTGCTGTCTCTTTAGTTTAAACATAAGAAGGATAAATTTAACAAGCTAGTTTTTCTCCACAAACATAAAAATCCAAACAAGTTTAACAAGATTTAACATCCAACAAAGATCCATATGAAACCCTAAATATTTCATATGCCAGACTTTTACCAACAAATGATCAAATTTAGCATTAAATCTGGCACTGCAATCCAATGCTCTTAAGCTATCATTTGTTTGATTGACCAGTACTTCCTCCATCATCAAGCTCAGTTCCCAGCTCTTCTACTTCTCTGTTTCTAAAATGAAATAATTCTTTTTTATTTCTGTGTCTTGGAACAGTTTTTTTTTTTTTTTTTTAAAATATGTTTGATAACATCTTCTATTTTTTTTTCGAGAATGAGAATTATATGTTTGATAACACAACAAATAATACAATAAAAAATTCCTATTAAATATAAATTTTTTCGATCATCACTTTCTTTTTCATATGGTGTGGTTGTGGTGGTGGCGGCAGGGGGTGGTATGGTAGTGATGGTGACAGTGATAAGGTGAAGATAGTGATGGTGGTTGTGATGGCAGTGGCTGCGGCGATGGCTGCGGTAATGGTGGCGACGACGACAGTAGTGTGGTGGGGATGGTGGTGGTAGAGGTGACAACAGTGGTTGCGACAATGGTGGTTGGTGGCGGCGACAATGGTTGTGGTGGTTGTGATGACATCATGGTGGCGGTGGTGGCAATGGCGGCGCCGGTGGCGATGGTGGTAGGTGGCAGTGGTGGTAGTGGTGGCGATGACGTGGTGATGGTAATGGCGGGAGTGCTGTAATGGTGGCGGAGGTGACGGTAGTGACTGTGGCGATGGTGGTTGTGGTTGGTGGCGGCGACGATAGTGGTGGTGACGGTAGTGACTGCGACAATGGTAATGGTGGTTGGTGACTGTGGTGGTGATGGTAGCGGTGACGTCGTGGTCGTGGTAGTGGTGGCGATGGTGTTGGTGGCAGTGACATGGTGATGACGATGGTAGCAGTGACGGCAGTGATTGCGAAGATGGTGGTGATGGTTGATGGCGGTAGTGGTGGTGGTGAAGGTGACAGTGATAGTGGTGGCGGCGGCGGTAGTTGTGATGGTGGTGACGGTGGTAGTGATGGGTGGAGGTGATAATGATGGTGCCAGTAGCATCGTGGTGGTGAGGGATAGTGACGACGACACTAATGGTACGACAACGGCGTCGACGATGGTGGCAGTGGTTGTGTCGGGATGATGGTGGTGGTGGTAAAAATGGTAGAGGTGGAGAGTGATTGAGAGAGATAAATGTTTCTCATTTTGTGCCCGGAAACAAAAAAACAGAATTTTTTTAATTCATTTTTCTGTTCCCAGACACAAAAATTAAACTAGTTCATCCTGAGAACAAAAAAACAAATCGATTTTACCAAACGAATTTTCTATTCATTTATGTTCCCGGGAACAGAAATTAAAAAAAAAAGAAGTTTAGGTAAAATAAATAAATAGAAATAAGGAATTTATTATTCTTATGTTAAAAAAGAAAAAATCTGTATCTTACACATACAAATTCAAGATGTATTTTATTCTATTTTTTTTCTCTCCATGAAAGTGGATCCTACCTACATAAATAAATATGTAGGAGATAATAGATATGAGAAAACTATTACCATAAAATAAATAAATAATACATTATTAACTTATTTAAATAACTTATAGAAAACTGATTATTGGATGAGCGATATTAAGAAAAATTAATTTTCTTAGTCGTATTGGGAACGGTAACGAGCTAACGGCAGCGTGATGGAGGAGAGAATTTATTGTGGTCTGGGATCACTATTTTTTAGGTGGTTCCTTAATGTAAATAGAAGAGTAAAATTGAAAAAGAAGAAAAATAGCAGAGATAAAAAAGGAAAAAAAAAAAATAGTGTTGCGAGAGGGAGTACCAAATCATTAGGTGGTCCTGAAGCATATTAAATATTTCCGTGAGGGAGGTGTACCTAGGGTTGGCAAAACGGGCCAACCCGGCTCGACCCGGCCCAACCCGCATTCAACCAGTAAAAAACGGGTCGGGTTAGGGTTGGCCCGAAAAAATAAACGAGCCAGAAAATTCAACCCAGCTCGACCCGAGCCGGGTTAGGGTTGGCTCGATAATCAGCTCGCGGGTTAGCTCGGAAAAAAGCTCGCGAATTGACTCAAAAAAAGCTCGCGGGTTAACTCGAAATGATGCCAGTGGGTTGGCTCGCGAATTGGCTCAAGAAAATTGATTTTTGTATAATTAGTCTTATTTATGTACTTGTACTAAACAAGTTTAAAGTTCAAAATGTAAGCTTTCATCTTCCACCGATTAAAATTAAGCCAAATAAAATCAAACGGTCAAAATAAAATGAAAAAAAAAAAATACTTGACAGCAATAAACATACAAAGTGACGAGTGACGACGATGTGAGCGTATGACAGTTTTGGAGTTTTCATATTAATTTTTTTTTTTAATACAATCATATTATTATTTTTTTAATTAAAAAAAAAATACCCAACCCGCGAGCTGGCTTGTTTAACCCGCAGACTGGCTCGTTTGGGTCTAAGTTGTATCGGGTCGAGTTGAGTCGGGTTGGCAGCTCATTTAGGCAAATCCAACCCGACTCATTTAAGACGGGTTGACTCATTTTTGCCATCCCTAAGTGTACTCGCCCGGGTTGTATTGGGTTTAATTGAAAGAGTAGGGTTATATCGATAATTTTTTTTTTTTTTTTATAAATTTACAAATTATATTATATATGATCGATAATACATTAATATTCTACTCAAGAATGTATTGCAATCAGATATAATATAATTTGTAAGAATTTTAAATAAAAAATTTGTAAATATAATATTCCTCTTTATAAAAATCTTCTTAATTGTTTATTCAATTGAGTGTGATATTTATAATCACAGACGTAGAAACTTTATTGTCTATATAGTGAGAACTGAGAACGTTTACGGAAGGAAATTTCTCAGTTGGAAAATAAAAGTAGAAAGAGAAGAAGGGGACGAGATATACCATCATCATATTTTTTATTTTCAACTTGGTTTCGAAAACCGATCTTGTGACTCATGATTCGCAAGAAAATGAAGGAGCAGTTTACCAGCAAAACCGCGTAGGTCCCACCTAATCCTTAATTTTCTCTTACTACATAATCACATTCCAATCTTTTTTTTCCTTCCCGTCCAACCTTTTAATTTGAGTAGTTGTTATGCTATAGATATTCAGGTCATGAAAAGGCAAAAATATGTTTTTTCTTAGTAAAATGTCCCCCAAACCTACTATGATATATATATTCTTTTAATTTAATGACAATTGTTGTTTGTTTTCAAAATCTATTCGACAAATAATTTATGATGAAAATTTCAACAAAATTTTGCTTCTGTATTTATAAATTAATTATTTTATATTTCATTTATTTTTTGTTATTTATATTGTGATATATGTGTATAATAATATTTTTGTCGTAATTATAAACTTAATTGTTCAGTTAATAAATACTTATTTATAATTCAAAGTTTATAATCAAATTAATTTTAAGTCATATAAAATTTATATAGTGTTAGTTTTAAAGTAGTTTGAATCAAATTTAATTTTGTATTTATTTTTATTTTTATATGTGCTTACCTGGTTGGTTCTATCGGATGTTACGCCCATGGTTTTGGAATTGTCAAACACCTTAAGTTAATATAAAAAATTAATATTTATTATTATTTAAATAATTTATAGAAAACAGATTATCTGATATGAGTGATGTTATCAATCAATTTTCTAGTCCGATGTGGGAAGGTCAGTCCGAGGGAGGTGTATGTGAGGGATGCTTAGAACTTAGAAGAGTCAACAGTGTTATTTTATTTTCAACTTGGCGCGGGACTTATGGATCTATATGGCAGAACCTCATCTTTACCCTCCTCCCTAATTATCAGTCAAATCCCATTCTTTTATAGTGTTAGCACTCTGCTTGTACTCTAGACTTGGTTATCGTATCATTAAGGAACATTATGACGAATGAAGGGGCCATTGCCACCCCCTACGATGTGTTTCTCAGTTATAGCAGCGATACCCGTGATCACTTCGCAGCTAATCTCTACAATGCTTTGCGCGACAAGAGAATCAAGACATTTTTCAGAGATGATGAGCGACCCAGGAGTGGCAACCAATTAACCTCACCCTCTATTCTCAATGCATTGGAAAAATCGATAATTTCGATCGTTGTTCTCTCCAAAAGCTACGCACGTTCCATGCGGTGTCTTGCTCAACTTGTCAAGATCATTGACTGTATGAAGAGCAGGGGCCAGCTGGTTTGGCCGATCTTTTACGGAGTAGATCCATCCGATGTAAGACATCAGAGAGGTAGCTATGCCCAAGCCATGGTAGAACATGAAAATATGTTCAAAGACGACCATAAGAAGGTGCTGGAATGGAGGTCAGCTTTGTCTGAAGTCGCCAACTTATTAGATGATCGATGGCTGTTGGTAATTGGGTATGTCCATGCTATATTTTCAGCCAAAATGTATTCTGGTATTAGTTGTTAATAATATTATGATGTAACCAATTCTCCCAAAATGTTTAAGGAGATACGAGGAGGCTCATAAATAATTTTATTATATTTCTTAACACAGTTAGACCCTTTTTTTTGGTTATATTTAGTTTAAATTCAACTTTTTATTTGAAAAAAGGGTTATAAGAATGGAACTCGGGAGTCGTGACCACTTCGTCATCTACTCTAATACGGTGTCATGCAGTAACTCATCCCGGAACCAAAGGCTTAACTATATCTCTTAACTAATATGACTGTTTATTTTGAATATCTGTCAACTGGGAGGTTAGTCGCATCTCCCATCTTTTATTTATGGTTTCAAAAAGTAACCTTGTTAATTAACCAGGAATGTTGTGGAGACAAGGAATATTGTATGTGTTGTAAAGGTTTTGTTTAATTTTGAGTTTCAGCGTGGTTTTCTATGGTTTCACAATCTGTCTTTGTGCAGATTGATTACTCAAGCATAGTTTTATTATATTGTAGTAGTAATTCTGATTAATAGAAAGAAAACAAGAACTGTGCATGGATGAATTAAAAGGCCTTATACAGTTATACTTTTGCAGGAAACGGTACGAATCTGAACTTATCCAAAAGGTTGTGGAACGCGTCGCCCAACGCACGCCCAGCTACGATGTTTTTCTCAGCTTTAGTGAAAAAGATTCCCGCTACTCCTTCACAAGTTTTCTGTATAATGCTTTGGAACAGGAGGGATTCAAAACCTTGATGAATGATGAGGGATTGGAGGATGGGGACCAAATTCCACTATCTATTATGAAAGCTATTGAAAGATCAAAGTTTTTTATAATTGTGTTATCTGAAAACTATGCATATTCGTCGTCGAGACTTGATCAACTTGTCAGGATCCTTGACTCTAGGAAGATGACAAACCAATTGGTCTGGCCGATCTTTTACAAAGTGGAACCGACAGAGGTAAGGCATCAGAAAAATAGTTATTGCGAAGCCATGAAAGCACATGAATATAGGTTGGGAGAGGGCTCGAAGAAAGTGCAGAAATGGAGGTTAGCTTTGAAACACGTGGCCAACTTGAAAGGATGGTCCTTGAAAACCAGGTACCATAATATTCTTTTAATTAATATCTATTTTATTAATACTAGTTGTTAAAAATATTTACTACCAATTTCTTAATATATATATATATATACATATATATGTCTTTCTTAAAAATCTGTGAACCGTCAAACGAAAATCCAATCTTGTGAATATTGTTTAAAATGTGACTTAGTTAATAAGGAAGGTTATCAGAGATATGGGTGACTCTGTGTGTATGTTGTTGTTGAGTTGTTTCCAGTTTGGAACATTAGATTACACTATGTTTTTTTTCTAGCGTATTAATATAATTTGTAAAAATTAATAAAAAAAATTTGTAAACTGATTTTTTTCTATCTTCTTACGAAGATTAAGTAGTTAAGTTTAATTTTATTATTTTGATGAAATAAATTCTGAAAATTGTGCATGAATGCATTAAAAGGCCTTGTACTTTTATAGGTACGAATATAAATTTATCCAAGAAATCATGGCGGTCATGAAGCTTCCCCCCGCCCACTGGTCCTACGATGTTTTTGTCAGTTTTAGCCGTAAGGATACCCACCAGAGCTTCATGAATAATCTAGATTATGTTTTGCGGCGCCGGGGAATCATGACGTTCATGGATGACGGTGAATTCAAGAGTGGCCACTCAATTTCACACTCTGATTCTAAAGAAGCATTGGAAGAATCAAGGATTTCAATTGTTGTTCTCTCCCCAGACTATGCATATTCCACGTGGTGTCTTAATAAACTCGTCGAGATCCTTGATTGTAGGAAAAGGAAGAATCAATTGGTTTGGCCAATATTTTATAATGTGGAACCCACGGATGTCAGGCATCAGAAAAATAGTTACCGCAAAGCAATGGCTGCACATAAAAATAGGTTCAGAGAGGACTTTGAGAAGGTGCAGAAATGGAGGTCAGCTTTGTCTGAAGTCGCCAACTTAGAAGGGTGGCAGTGGAATACCGGGTACATATATATAGTATACTTTCAATTACTCTTGCTAATAAGTTCCATAACTGATATTATTTTACTAGTATTAGTTGTTAAAAATATGACTTGAAGAGCTTTCATTAGGAAACTGGTGCATTTATGTTTTCAAATTTCAATAACTTTTAGCTTACAAAGTTCAACAACTGTGACTTTTAATTATTATTATTTTTTGGTAAGGTGACTTTTAATTATTTAATGGAAAATATAAGTATTACGATGTAGAAATGAAATTTTTGTCCTTCAACACGTTTTGAACTATCTTCTAAGAGTCTGTTTGGATCTTTTTTTTTTTTAAGTTATAAGTTACTTATAAGCTAAAGCTAAAAAAAAAGTTAAATGTTATTTGGTAATTACATAAATTTTTTAACTTCAAAGTACGTATTTTAAAAAAAGTATATTTCTCTCTATCTCTATAACTCTTCATTGAAAAAAAAATACACAATTCAAAAAAAGCATGTAAGAGTTTTTTTGAAAAAACCTTCTCCCAGGAGCTTTTAACTTACCTTAAAAAGAAGAAGATCCAAACATACACTAAGAAGTATATAATTATGATATTGAAGTAATTTTAATATTATAATTATATATTTCTTAGAGTAGATAGTTAAAAATGAATTTCACGACAAAAAATATTACGAACTCATATTTAATTTATACCTCCTTTATCAATATCTATTGAAATGTTAAACCCCAAGTCTCGTGCTTATCATTTATACGCGTACGTGATTCAAAAGGTGATTCTGTTAATCAATCAGAGCTTCATAATTTAATAGTGTATGTCGTAAAGGTTTTGTTTCTAGTTTCAATGTAGTTATATATATATATATATATATTTGATATCAGTGATATCACAATATATTTTTGAGCTGATAGATTAGTCAAGCTTAACTTTACTATATTGAATTAATAATTTTGGTCAATAGAAATAAAACCAAAGGTTGTGCTCACAAAGACTAGACTTACTGAATTAAAAGGATTTGTGCTTTTATAGGGAAGGAATTAAAATCATCGAAAGGATTGTGGAATTTGCTGTCGAATTCTTGTTTATCGATGTTTTTCTCAGTTTTAGTGGGGAAGATACCCGCTACTCATTTACAGGCTTTCTCTATTATGCCTTGCGCCAGGAGGAATTTAAAACCTTCATGGATGATGAGGGATTGAAGGGTGGGGATGAAATTTCAGAAACTCTTATCAAAACAATTAAACAATCAAGGCTCTCAATTATTATTTTCTCCGAAAACTATGCATATTCCTCTTGGTGTCTTGATGAACTTGTCAAGATCATTGAGTGTAAGAACTTGAACAAACAACTGGTTTTACCGATATTTTACAAAGTTGAAAAGTCTGATGTATGCAATCAAGAAAAAAGTTACGGCGACGCCATGGCGGAGCATGGCAATATATATGGAAATGACTCTGAGAAGGTGCAGAAATGGAGGTCAGCTTTGTCTGATGTCGCCAACCTGGAAGGAGGAGAACATATCAAAGAGAATGAGTACGTACTGTAGTATGCTTTCAATTACTTTTTAACTTGATGAAGTTTGCAACTTTGCATAGTTAATGTCTACTAATTCTAGTCTTTAATTAATAATATGTGATTGTTAATTACTTGATATATACCTCTTACTATATAAAGTTTTGTTTCCAGTTTTAGTGCAGTTTAATTTGTATTTTGTGCAGAAATCTGTTTTTGTGAAGATTAATCAGTCAGACTTAATTTTATTATGTTGATGAAATAAATCTGATTAAAGAAAAGAAGGGAACACTGTGCACGAATGAATTAAAAGGACTTGTATTTTTGTAGGTCCGAATATGAATTTATCAAGAAGATTGTGGGAATAGTCAGAGCTCGACTGTCAACAGGTAAAGACTCCAGTACATAAAAGTGCCGTCAAAGACTCAAAGCTAGAACCGATCACACCAGCTTAGAAATGGATACCTGTTATAATGCCATTGTCAATACTGGGAAGTTGTTTAGGGTAAAGCACCATTTTAAAATTTTTGAGCAAAAGAATTACTCAGTTAAAGTTGATTGGATAAGTTTTTCCAAAGTAATGCAGTCAAATATGTGACATATTCTGACGGGACTAGTCCCGTCGCTGACACTGACGGGACTCGTGCCACGTCAGCGTCACGTAGACAGTCTCATTATCGTAAAACTTCGGAAGGTCATAACTTGTGACTCGGGTATCCAAATTAGATGATTTGTTTTTTGATTTCACATAAATTTTCGAGATCTACGCAATGACATCTAGTTTGACATATTTTATCTCCCACAAACATAGTTTGAAGATCTTCTAAATTTAAACGCGTGATTGTGGTACAATTATTACCAATTCAAATTATATTTGTGAGAGATAAAATATGTTAAATGAGATTTCATTGCGTAGATCTCGAAAAGTTATGTGAAATCAAAAAAAAAATCATCTGATTTGGATACCCGAGTCACAAGTTATGGTCTTCTGAAGTTTTATGGTAACAAAACTGTCTACGTGGCGCTGACGTGGCACGAGTCCCGTCAGTGTCAATGACGAGACTAGTCCCGTCAGCATATGAGACATGTTTGACTGCATTACTTTAGAAAAACTTATCCAATCAACTTTAATTGAACAATTCTTTTACTCAAAAATTTTAAAATGGTGCTTTTCCCAAATTGTTTATAGATAAAGTGTCATGTTATTAGGATAATAGCAGTTTCTAGTTAGATTTATAACTAGAAACTGCTGGAAGGAGCACGAGTTCCCTCAAGTTACTTTTCCTTTTATTTTGCAAATTTACTTAAGTGGTGTAATTTTGCTTCAAGATTAATTCAGTTCTTTATCTTAATTTCTTAATTTGTTTTTGCCTTTTACTCCTTGTATTTAATTACCTGCGTTTCTTTAATTATTCTTTTACTTGTCTCATTACACTGTTGCTTCACCCAGTGTTTATTCTTTTATTATGCACTGAATGAGTGTCATGGGCCCAATTTGGAGCCCAATCCACCATCATATTCCCTTAACTTTCCTCACAATACCATACTCATCACCCACATGACTGATGTGCCATGTGACGCTCTTGTGCACAATTGTTATGGCACAACATATCACACTCTGACAAATACTCTCGTCTTGGCGTAGGTACTCTATAATTTCTTTATACATGAAGAATAATAAAGACAAAAGCTGGAAAGCTAAGTTTGAGGGAGGTGAACTTATACTGCACTACCTTTCTCTAATTAAGTTTATATGAGGTCTAAGACAAATATTTGCATGAATTTGGAGGGAGGGGGTGGGGGTGGCAATTGCCCCTCTTAACCTCTTCCTGGGTACTCCACCACTAGTAGAGGGTTGTTAGTACAGAGTGAGACGAAAAAGATTCCATAAAATACACAGTGATATATGGAATAGATAAGCTTCATCTTAATACTATATAACAACCTTTTACTATGTTCTTCTTCATCGGAAGGATTGCATTACTTCTATATAATATAATTTTGTTTAGAAATAACACATATGAATGTTGAAGAAAATATACTGCGTAGAGAACATAATTTATATGTGATTAATTTTGATTTGCATGGATTAATAAACAGTGTTTAGTTTGGAGAACTAAACAATTTTGGGGGGCTGGAAAACTGAACAATGGAATATAGAATTGCTACTACAACCCACAACGAGATTGAAGAGGGTTTCTCTATTACATTAAGTGCTCGCCATGCTTAACAGACCAAAACAAGTGTCAATATATAAAAGAGAAAAATGTTTCGGCAGTTAATGCAGATAAGTTATCTGCATTCATTCCCAAAACGATATCGTTTTGAGATTGAAATCTTAAAATTTTTAAAAATAAAGACTATTATAACTCTGAAATAAATTAAAATTACAAAAATACCATAATTTACGCTCCAAAACGACGTCGTATTGGGCTTACTGCAGATCAATTATCTGCAGTAACTGCAAAAAAAGTGAACCATATATAAAAGGTTTTCCTTATGTGCAACTTTGAATTTTAGAACAAGGAAAATGTTATTAATTATCGGGGAAGAAAGAATTAATGAATATATATATTTATCATGTTATTAATTAGCATACGTATTTATTAAAAAAATATATAACTATACATACTTTTTAAACATGGAAAATGTTATATTTATAAATTTTGTGTTTATAAACTCTTACGAACTACACTATGTCTTACCAATAAAACACTCTTTTTTTTTTTTTTTTTTGTAAATAAAGAGGGGCTAAGCCCCCAATAAAACACTCTTGAATGAAGTCTTACCAATAAGTCATATTGTAATGTGTAAATTTATAAAAAAAAAAAATTTATCAATATAACCCTCATCTTTAAACGTAATATATTTTTTTACAACTTATTTTGAACCGATCAAATGAGTTTGTGTGGCTTTTTTATTGGGCTTCCCAAACAGGCTCTACCCACTAATTTATCTGAGGATAAATTGTCCCTTTTGCACTTGTCACTCCCTCACTCCCACACATATAGGAAATGATCTTTTCATGTGAAAAAATAAAAATATATAAAATAATCTTGTAGAAAGATCACAACTATATAAAGATAAATCATCGTTTATGATTTTGTAACTACCTATTTTAATATATATTTTTTTCTATCTTTCTTTATTATCATTGATCCACCTTTGTATGGTTATTATTTTCAAAATAACTATGTCATATTTTTTTTCACTTATGAGAATTCAATTTCGGATATGAATAATCACGCAATCTCACACCTTAGTGAGGCCCCCAATAAATACTGGAGAGTGATTATTTATGACATTACATTTTTATGTTAGGGGAATATTTTTCGTGTTATATATATATCCTTATTCCTCATTAAAGTAATCATCTTCTTCCTAATTGCTCTCCATACTGAAACTATGCTGAAATCACCACTCACTACTCATAACTCATAACTGAGCCCTTAACAGCTTCCCTTGGCCTGTTCTCAGTTTCTCTTAGACCTTAATGAAAATCATCTTTTGCGCTGTAGTTCATATTACTGCTTCACTGGTATTTGTCTTGTTTTTTTTTTATTTATAAAAAAACCATTAATATATATTCAATACTATACTTTGGTCCTCAACTGAATATATTTGAGTCATTTGGACTCACTAAGGGATAGAATAACTCGATTTAATAATAAGAGTGTAAATAGATTATGTTAATGTTGGGCAATGGAATGAGGGAGCCCAAAATATTTTGCAAAGGATACATCCACCAATGGGCCAAATGACAAACCATAATAAGTGGGCCGACACCATATCTTAACCCAAAACCTTAAGGCTGCAGGTTTATGGGTCTTTCACACTTATATGGTCATCACTTGGTCTATGTCTAGTCTATGTGGTACTTCTTTACAACTCATACTTGATTATTTTCAACATCCTCCCTCAAGTGTGAGACCCAATATCATTCTTACTCTAAGGTCAACTTCTGCGGAAGTCTTTTTTTCTCTTCAAATATTAGGGTCACACTAGCCTTCTGCAGAGGCCTTTCCAAACACACTTGGCCCAGCCCAGATCATTGGCTCTGATACCACTGTTACAAATAGATAACATAAAGACAAAGAGAGAATCAATTAGCTTCTACAAGTTTTATTGAATGACTGATGGCCTATATGTAGGCTGTACTACAACGGGAAAAAACAAAAAGATAAAACAAACTTGTAACAAACTAGATTGTGATCCTACTTGTTGCTAAAGTTTAGGACCCACTAATGACTAAACGAACTACAATTTTCTGATTCAGGAACAAGTCAAACAACTAATCATAAAATATCTAACTCCTAACAGTTAAACTAGATTTTGATTCAAATTAGTTAGTTCTATATGATATTTTTTAAATTTGACCTGTTAACATAATATAAGTTAAATTATAAGATTGATCATTTAAAAAAAAATAAAAGGCATGATTTTGACCTATTAATTTCTTTAAACTTATCAAACAGATTTTGTTAGATATACCACACCTATCTTTCTCGCGAAAAACTATTTTGTTACTTATTTTTTCAAACCATTCAAGGATATATATTTTTCCCTTAAAACAACTAACATTAAATAATTTCATAAATTTATGCCTGTCAAATATAGAGAGTAAATCCTCTCATGTTAAAATTTCAAATGATCTAGTGATGTAAGTTTTTTTTGTCTATCTTTTTCTTCACATTCATTAAAAAGTATGATCCAATTATTATTAATAAAAAAAAGACAGATCCAAAAATATCACATGAACAGGTCATGTGAATTTGTTTTTAGTAAACTGTAATATGAAATTTTAACATGAGAGAATTCTGACAAGCTTTTCATATTTTTAAATAACACTAAATATTTATTAATTAATTTATTGCAAAAAAATAATATATTAATGTGCACTAAAATTTCTTAAAAGGGTGAAGCCTTGATGAACGTGTCCATTAAATTTGTTCCTCCATCCAGCAGTCAAGTCAAATTCAATTTTTCCCCTTGTGACGTTAATAAAACCCATTCTTTGACTTTAATATTTTAATAGTTGTGTATATTAAAAGAATTATATATGAAAAGAATATTTCTACCGCCACTTTAAATAAAGTTATCTACAATTATATTCAAAACCTATGATGCACGGGACACGACACGTCGACACGTAAATTCTAAAGAATGTCATATTTGGACACGTTGGGACACGTTTTGATATTATATAAATTTTTTAATATATATAATATAATTTATGTTTAATACATATAAGAGTCCATAATAAGTTATATAAGCAATCAAATATTTAAATTTCATAACATAAATATAAATATAAATAATTTTTCGTACTTTGTTAATTTTTCTTGTCAAATTTCATAACAGAAAAAAATTAATTTATAAAGTATTTCTTTTATATTTAGTTAACAAAATAAAATTAAGATTTAAATAAAAAAAACGTGTCCGAGCGTGTCCCAGCGTGTCC